TAATACATTTTTGGTTAAATTGGAAGCATAATTTTTGATAGTAGGTTATACTTAAAATTATGACAACAGTAATAGTACTATAATATTGTTCCAAATCTGTAACACATCATTAGTCGTTAGCAAACTTCAGATTTCCTTCTCTTGTTTTATAGTTCGAACCATTCTACTAGAGGCGCTGTAATCGGTCTTCAGAATCGGAAAAAGACGTACTAGCATAGTCTATGACCATAATCACCGCAAACTAACTAAACCAAAGAAATTCTTCTGTGGAATCCCTCTGCCGATATATTTCCGAAGCATGTCAGCATTAAATTTCAATCGTGGAAGAAAAATGCAACAAGCAAAGACAACAGTTTTATTATTTAATTAATACATAACTCATTAATGACATTTTCATCGTGTGATTGTAGTGGAAGTTTTCATTGTTGAAATAACATAGTCTCGAGAACAAACCACCACATAATCGATTGCTTTTTGAACGCCATTTTTCTTCGTTGCTCATCGGGCGATTAAGCTTTCTTTGGCATAAAGCAGTACAAATGAAATAAAGCGCAGATTATATAAATCTGTTTTAATTCGCGAGTTGTATCTGTAATTAAAGATATTCAAGAATAAGTGTCGTATTACACAGTGGTACATACACATACGTATATATATATTGTATACATATTTAATATACCGTAGAAGATTTATTTTTACGACCGCCATAATATAAGTAAAATGTTCATGATGAACCAGAGATGTACAACAATACTAAACTATTTGATAAATGATTCGGTTTCATTCCACTAGTTCATCGATTCCTTGTATGCGTCAATTACGTCACAAAGACTGTTATCAAAATTAAGTGCAACGTCAGTAACAGTTTTTCTTAATTGTAAGTGTCATTTATCTCTCGGATCGCAAGCTTCGAAAATCACATAAAGGTCAACAAGAAAATGGGTAAATTTTCGTTCCAATTTCATCATTTTATCGATAAGCTTCTCTTAAATTTTGCTATAAATATCAGCCGCTTTCGAATTGTATGAAACAACGAAATTTCGTAAAAGTTTGTACGGATTTTGGGTCGGAATCTATTCGAAACATGATATTATTACAAAGTAGTTAACACTTATGTCTATATCTTTTCTGCACCTATGTATAAGTTATACATATTATTATATTTCGGTTATACATATGACAATATGTAGAGTTACTTGTGAAAAATAAATCAATCAGTTTTTCTTCATTTCAATAATGTTTTTCAAGCATTTATCTGCAACAAAATTAAACACAATCAAGAAAGCTAATCGTTTTTTATAGATAAAAATAATAATTGTATTTTTGCATATTTTCACTATAGAAATTGTGGGCAATAATATGCTTGTTACAGATAACTCAGAAGCAGTTACAGTAAAGGGTGAAAACNTAATACATTTTTGGTTAAATTGGAAGCATAATTTTTGATAGTAGGTTATACTTAAAATTATGACAACAGTAATAGTACTATAATATTGTTCCAAATCTGTAACACATCATTAGTCGTTAGCAAACTTCAGATTTCCTTCTCTTGTTTTATAGTTCGAACCATTCTACTAGAGGCGCTGTAATCGGTCTTCAGAATCGGAAAAAGACGTACTAGCATAGTCTATGACCATAATCACCGCAAACTAACTAAACCAAAGAAATTCTTCTGTGGAATCCCTCTGCCGATATATTTCCGAAGCATGTCAGCATTAAATTTCAATCGTGGAAGAAAAATGCAACAAGCAAAGACAACAGTTTTATTATTTAATTAATACATAACTCATTAATGACATTTTCATCGTGTGATTGTAGTGGAAGTTTTCATTGTTGAAATAACATAGTCTCGAGAACAAACCACCACATAATCGATTGCTTTTTGAACGCCATTTTTCTTCGTTGCTCATCGGGCGATTAAGCTTTCTTTGGCATAAAGCAGTACAAATGAAATAAAGCGCAGATTATATAAATCTGTTTTAATTCGCGAGTTGTATCTGTAATTAAAGATATTCAAGAATAAGTGTCGTATTACACAGTGGTACATACACATACGTATATATATATTGTATACATATTTAATATACCGTAGAAGATTTATTTTTACGACCGCCATAATATAAGTAAAATGTTCATGATGAACCAGAGATGTACAACAATACTAAACTATTTGATAAATGATTCGGTTTCATTCCACTAGTTCATCGATTCCTTGTATGCGTCAATTACGTCACAAAGACTGTTATCAAAATTAAGTGCAACGTCAGTAACAGTTTTTCTTAATTGTAAGTGTCATTTATCTCTCGGATCGCAAGCTTCGAAAATCACATAAAGGTCAACAAGAAAATGGGTAAATTTTCGTTCCAATTTCATCATTTTATCGATAAGCTTCTCTTAAATTTTGCTATAAATATCAGCCGCTTTCGAATTGTATGAAACAACGAAATTTCGTAAAAGTTTGTACGGATTTTGGGTCGGAATCTATTCGAAACATGATATTATTACAAAGTAGTTAACACTTATGTCTATATCTTTTCTGCACCTATGTATAAGTTATACATATTATTATATTTCGGTTATACATATGACAATATGTAGAGTTACTTGTGAAAAATAAATCAATCAGTTTTTCTTCATTTCAATAATGTTTTTCAAGCATTTATCTGCAACAAAATTAAACACAATCAAGAAAGCTAATCGTTTTTTATAGATAAAAATAATAATTGTATTTTTGCATATTTTCACTATAGAAATTGTGGGCAATAATATGCTTGTTACAGATAACTCAGAAGCAGTTACAGTAAAGGGTGAAAACTATAAAGTAGTAGATGAATGTAACGAAGAAGAAGTTGCATCTAATAATACAAAAACTAAGATTACAGAGAGTTCTATAAATATAGAGAAACGACCTGTAAACGAACAGAATATAAATGAACAAAATGCAAATGCGCAGAATATGGATGAAAAGAAAGCAGATGAAGAAAGTCTAGATGTTACAATTTTAAATATTATTGAAATAAAAAAGAAAGAAGACAACTTGAAAAAGGAGACTTTGACAGAACAGAAGAAAAGTGACTTGAAAGAACAGGATTTAACAGAAAAGAAAAATGATGAGCAGAATTTATTTATGGAGAAAAAAGAGGACTTAACTAAAGTGAAAGAAATAGTAGAACTTGTAGATCTAACTGATGGAGTACAATCAGATGATTTGAACATTAATAATAATGATCAAAATAGTGAGACGAATGAATGTACCAAACCATCGAATGGAGAATTAATTGATTTCACTGCTGATATTAGTTTGGATCAATTAAGTGAACAAAACAATGTGACAGATGAAGATGTTTTACAAAATTTAGATGAAATTGAAAACATGGTATTCACTTCATCTGTTTTTGAAATGCAAGATGATAACAGTAAAATGGTGACAGAGGAAATTGCAACTAATATGGAAGAACAAAAGTCTAAGGACTCTAATGAAGCAGATAAAGATATCGAACAGACTACATCTGCTAATGATATTAAAAATACAGACATAGAAGTAGAAGTAGTCGAAGTAATAAATCCTGTAAAGGTCGAATGGTATGAGAAAAAGGTATATAAAGAGATATATAACTAAATCAAAAAATAATATTAAAATACTGTATAAAGTCCATAACATTGAATTTATTATTTCATACAGATAGCTGAAAAAGAAGCAATTATAAAAGAGCGATTAACAAAAATGGCTAGAATTTTTGGAATTTCGTATCCATGTTATGAGAAGTGGTTGGAGAAGGAAGTAAAAGCAAATGGATCTCTATGCAAGCTGAAACCAGCTCGTCGTTGTTCCTTGAAGAAGCCATACACTAATCGTTGGAAATTCGTTTGTAAGCATAAGTGGTTAATCTAGTTTTTAAATTTCAAGCTTCAATGATTTCAAAATGAAAACTTGTGGACTCTGATATCATGTTGAAATATTTTAATGTGATTTATTCAGGTAGCAGGAAGAAAGTTCAAGACATCAAAGAGGAAAGCAATGATGATACTTTTAGATTATTTACCAAAAATGCGGAAACGGTTTGGAAACTAGAACCAAGTGGAGCATGGGGTATTAACATGAATAATGAACTTGAATTTCCACCTTTTGTGTTCCGTGCTGTAAAGGTATGCAATTTTCGAATATACTGAAACCATAATTCATAACATAATGTTTGTGTATGCTTAAGCATGAATATAGAATAATTATCATTATTTTATGTTTAAATTTCGTAGATATTTGAAGAATTTCTTCAAACAACCGAACGACCGAATGATCAGAATGGTGAAACTGAATATACGCCTGATTTTATAGAATTAGAGTCAAAAAAAGAATCAGGTAACGAGTGTAAACAGGAATGGATATCATTAGTGGTGCGTTGTAACAGCATGGATGAGCTTATGCTATTCGCAACGGGAAGAAATATTAATCGCACCACAATGGATCGTTTCAAACAAACTTTTGAATCTGGATTAGGCAAAGATTGTAATGTTAAATCATTGTATTGCAAATCTACAAATAAGTAAGAAAAGTTCCACGACATCAAATAATGCATCATAATAAAAGATAAATGGCTGACCTATTTTTTAATTACAGAGTTCATGACATTACCGTAACGAACACAACGTTCTTGGTAGGATCGGAAGCATTGGATGAAATTGTTGGAGGATTGAAAGTGCAACTTGCGCCCAAAACAAACTTTTGGTCAAACACTGCAGGAGCTGAGAATGTTGCAAATGCAGTGATGGATTTATTAGCGCTTACTCCAAAAACAACTGTAATTGAAATAGGTTGTGGCATTGGTCTCATTGGCTTAATGATGGCTTCAGTAAGTACATACTGCTATATTGGGAACAGTTTTCACTTTAAACACCAACATAATCACATTTTGTTATTACATTATAGAAATGTCATCACGTTGTGGGAGTAGATCTGCCATCCGAAGTGGAGGAAGCTGAAATGACGTGTGAATTAAATAACATAAAAAATGCTTCCTTCATTATGGGAACCGCATCTGAAGTAACAAGCAAAATAGTAATAGCAGCGAAAAAAAGCAAACCTTGCGCAATAATTAATGCAAATACTAATATCGGCCGGGGTTCGTTAATTAAACATTTACGACTATACTTATGTAAATTTAAAGTCTTTGATATTAAATATATGTTTTCCTATATCTTACAGCAATTGAAGTGATGACATGCCTCAGAAAAATTGCATCTATCAAGCGAATCGTGATGATAACTACATTAACAAAACAGTCGGTTCGCGCAATATTAGAATTAGCTCGGCCCCTGGAGATTGCGGCACATGGAGCACCATTTGTTCCTACTGTAGCATGTGTCGTCGACACTTTGCCAGTTGGTCCACTTGTCGAAGTTGTAATCTTACTGGAGCGACGAGCGGTGCATAAACTAAATGCGCCACCATTCCAAAAGTCTGTCCAAGGATTGAGTAAAGAAACTGGTGGTAAGCCCGAGCAAAAGAAGACGTACAAGCAAAAGACGAACGGAACAGAAAAAAAGGTAGCAGTCAAAGAAGCTGAAGCAAGAAAGTCTTTAAATAAACTATTAACAAAATTCCCGACAAAGAAAACGAAACCGCCGATGAAAAGAGTTATTCACCCCAAAAATATCGAGGCTGCACATGTTAAAGGTAAATTCAAGGGTAAACGTCCTCATTCACCGGATATGGGTGAAGCTCCGCCGAAAAAAGTAATGAAAAAATTTAGCAAATTTAATACTAAACCATGGCAGCCAGGTAAGTTGATGTATTAACTCTTATTTTAAAATGTCTTCGTTTAGATACAAACAGTATAGAGAAATAAAACTTTTTTAATTAAACATTAGATGTGGCAGCTAAAAAGAAGAAGGAATGGAACACAGAGAACCCACACATTCTAATCAATCCTCTATACGAAAAGAAGCTGCGAGAGCAGCACACAGAGCAAGCAGATTTAAGGGAAAGATTGTCTAATAATCGGCTTGACACGGACATCGCTCAAAGGGTAAAAGAGCATCAGTCACTCTTGAAGATAGCAAAGGAGAAGCTGAGTGGACCAACACCGACCGTAGATATAAATACCGCGAAACAATTGCAAAGCATGTTAAACATGGTTCTAGAGCAAACGAACAAACTGCAGAGTCAGCTTCCACGCTCTGTTTGGGATCGTATAGCTCCCGCAGATAACGTTGCCGCACAGCGAGACAGTAAAGAAGAAGAATCTCTGTCGCAAAGTCGATATGTGCATGACAGGAACGGCCAAGATATTTTAATCACCACAGCAAATAAATTTTCAAATAACGAGATGAGTGACCCAAAACCATACTACAAAAAGTACAACAACATACCGCCCTTGGAACCAAACACGATAGAACCGGTAGGACCACCAACTAGTCACAGCAGATCAAATCCATTCCGCATATCGCCTGATCGGTATCACGATACGAACATGCGCGATCAGTTAACTCAAGATAACTGGAATCGAGATAATAAATCATTCGAACGGAACCGGTGGAATGAAATGGGTAATATGAGAAAACCAAATTCGCCTCTCAGGAGACAAAATTCCCCGATGAAGCATCGTTTGAGTCCCCCAAAAAGATTCTCGCCTAAACGTCCACTATTGTCTCCACCTAGACGTCCAAGCTCTCCTCCTAGAAGACACTTCTCACCCATGCAACGTCCATCATCGCCATTATATAGACAACGTTCTTCACCCATGAGAGGTGCATTACCATCACCGTTAAGGCGTCCTATGTCTCCACTTAGGCGCGCATCGCCACAAAGACGACCTCAATCACCGAGACGTCCATCACCACCTCGACGACCAGAAATGACTATGAATCGACCAATGTCGCCACTAAGACAGGATCCCTCGGTTTTGCGACGACAAGTATCGCCGTTAATGATCATTGTGTCACCCACCAGGAGGCAAATGTCTCCTACAAGGCCGGATACATCTACGCCGCGAAGACAAGATCCTTCTCCCAACCGAATGATGTCTCCAAATACACAAGAAATGATGCTCTCTAGACGACAGATTGTACTACATGAAAAGCAACAAATGTCGCCGATGAGACGCGCAGAATCGCCGCAGAGGTACATGTTTATGCGACCTACATCGCCCCCGAGGAGGCAGCCATCACCACCGAGACGACAAATGTCACCACAACAGAGATTCGCGGATGACTGGGACATACCTAGCAGAGGAGCTGTCGAGCAAAACATTTGGCAACGGCCCCCTGAGAAGCTACCAGCCCAGAATGTCTGGAGAAATGATAAGCCTTCGACTTCTACCAACAACTGGGACCAAAATTCGACCAACGATAGCCGTCGTAAGGTCTTCTGTATGAAGAAGTGGGGCATCAAGGATTCCAATCGCGATGACACATGGAACATCGGTGCGGGGAGCTCTTGGAACCCTAAGCAGCCGTGTCAGAAACCAATAGCTAAAGAGACTTGGCAGCCCAATCCGGAGAATAAATGGTGGACTACGTCCAAAATGCCTGAAAACAGCAACGATAATTGGAACATCCGAGGAAAAGAGAGTTTCAATGCCCGCAAAGAACCCTGGATGGACAACACAAAGAAGAATAGATGGGAAACGTATAATGCTCAGGACTCCTGGAAGCAGAACGACAAAGATGACTTGAATGATTTGCCGGAAGATGCGAGAGATCCTTGGGGCGATGATGGTAATAATTTAGGGTTAAAGGAGAGGTGGCTCAAATCAGAAAACACCGCTTCGTCATCATCATCGTCCACGTGGAAGAGGGAAAATGATAAGCCAGGGAACATGTGGTTGACACATCAAGATAATTGGCAGAATAAGGATTCATCTTTCGCACCGAAATCGCAGTGGCAAAACAATGGCATTAAAAATATGGGCGAATTATGTTCGACCTCACAAAACGATAATAATCAGAAACCACCTTCGTCCACTTGGCAGAGTGGAAAGAACGTAGGCTCGTGGCAAACACAAAATACAAATTTCCAACCTCATCGTTCCTTTTCTACTAGCCAGTTTAAAGGTTTTCATTAAGATTTACGTTTCCTACTTTAACGCTAACATTAGCCATTCACAATTTGATTTGTTAATGAATTCTTATCGTCGCGTTATTTGGATCAAGAACGGACAGTAAATTAAATGATTGAATCAACTACAAGATGTCTACAACCGAGGCTTTATAATATTTTACTGCACGTTCTACAAATTCATAAGAATGAAACATTTCATTTTCAAAGTGATTTCTGTTATTTAAGTATTAAGTTAAATAAAGCATCAATAGTATTAATTGAGAACGTAACTTCACTATAAATATAGAACCTACAATTTAAAGTTATAAAACTTAGGAAATGGTATTTACATAAATCTCCTACGAGATAGTGTAAAAAGTAAGTTCAATTGTACTTTTTAAATAAATCTGCATTTACATAAAACAGTAAAATCTCTGTTCACTTGAAACATCATTTCATGAACCTTACATTTAACACTTGCCTGTCAAGTGATTATAATATTTTAATATAGTGTTTATAATAAAAAGAAGATAAAAATTGAATGTGTATATATTTTCTAAACACATAGTAAGATACTTCGTATCAAAACACGAAATATTAAAATTGAAATACATAGTACATTAACGTTAATAAAATTTAATTTCAAGTTGATATATTATCATTACAAAATTTAATACTTGAATAATTATAAAAAAATACATGATTTGTTTGATGTCATGTTCATTTGTTTCTATTTATTACATTTAGTTTAATATTAAGTATATTTAATATATTTACATACATATAAAATGCTTTAAATTAAAATATAGATATGCGTGTATGTATTGTATACATATGTGTATGATTAGATTCGAGTTGCCATGCTCCTGTTTCCTGCTCCTGCTGCTAGCTATCGGCTGCTATAAAGTTGGTAGTTTAGACTAGGCGCACGTAGACGCTAGTCTATACTCCATGCGTTGCACGTTATGTATATTGTATTGTGAATCTTCTCCGTAATGTGTTTATGTTTCATCGAACACAAATGATAAATCTCATTTAGATTAAAAATAATCAAATTTAGGCCTTCTTTATATTTATGTAAATCAGAATAACAAATGTTTCATTCAAAGGTATGCTATTTTGATATTTATTATATCAACTTAGAAGAGGTTAAGATTAATCACTATACTCATTTTCAGATATCCACATTTTTACGAAACATAGCAAATAACAGCTTATATCAAAAGGGACATAATAATTTCTTACCATGCTCGTTATTTTCAACGGAACTTTCACATGTCGATTCTTCAAATATTGATGAGGTATTGATGGAAATCAAATTTTGTTTAAACTAATTTATTAATCATTTTCTCCCTTAAAATTTATTACTTATTTCAGTCTGTTCCTGATAAATTGTACAAAAAACTCGAAATTGAAGTCAGAGGACATGATCCTGTGGTTTTAGAAAGTTATGGAAAGTTTGCTGTTATGGCAGCGACACATTTAAATATTACTGTTGGTAGAAAGTAAGTTTTTAAACACATATTGTACTTAATAACAAATTAAAACTATAAAGATTTTTATCAAGATAAACTCTGCTAGAAAATTTATCAAATAATACCGTGACGTAGCATATAATCACATAATTTTTACATTAATAGTGTGAAGCCACTGAAAGCTATCCATAAAAGATACACTCTACTAAAGTCCGTTCATGTTTACAAAAAACATCGTGTTCAATATGAAACGAGGACATACTTTAGATATCTTGACTTTTTTCGTTTAACTGGTTCAACAGCGGACACTTTTCTAGAATATCTCCAAAGGAATCTTCCAGAAGGAGTAGCAATGAAAGCTACAACGGTACAATTTCAATTGGTTATTTTTGGCAAAGGGGCATTCATAGATGACACTTTTCAATTTTTAACCTATAAGTATCAAAATTTCTAATAAGATTGAGAGTAGCATATTCCTTCAATAGCTTTTATAGCTTACACATTGTAAGTGCATAAATAAAAATTGGAGCGTGTCAACTATTGATTATTTCTTGCAGTACTGTTTTATAATATCCAAAGACTGAATAAAATGTGTGTTTTATAGGTTGAATTGCAAACCTTACCTGAATCAATTAAACAAGCGTCATGTACAGAAGAATAATAGATGGGAACATCATTATGTTTATTGTAGTTTTAATTGAATAAACTGTGCAACTTTGTTGAGTATTTACTTTGTTACTCTTCTAGTCATATTATTAAAAAATCAATATTAAAATAATGACACTAATTCTATTACTCTAAAGTTGTATGTTCTTTTTTAACAGTATTCATATTAATTTAGATGCTTCCAAAGTGTAACCAGCTGTTTTTCGCTCCACAGAATCTCGACCACAAATTTCCACCCAATGAAATTTGCTTTATAAGAGTAAAATCTTTACTTATCTGGAAAAGATCAGTAGTCTTTTGGAAATTTCGTACTTTATTAGAGAAAACAATGCCTTAGTTATTAAATTACATTTTTTATTCGTTGATTACATTAGTGAACAAAATACAATTTTCAAATTGTGCAATTTAAAATTAGTAATTACAAAGGAATGTACACACGTTTGTCAATTATTTACTTTATTAATTTTTTATTCGTATTATAAAACAGTAATAAATAGATAAATCATGACGCTATAGTTACACGATTTTAATACTTGTGCATTCTTCTTTAGAAGCATTTCAGTCATCTTTTATTTAATCAAATCGATGATACTCGAATGTAATCAATCTCAAAAGTCGTCAATCTATCATCTTTTCTCCAAGTTGGAAACCAGTCGTTCTTTGCTTGCCAAAAATTCAACATTGCCTAGAATGCATCAGTTTATTTTATTTGGTGGTCGTTAGTAGACAAAGGATTTCATGCATTTATGATAAAAATGTATAGATGAAATATTAACTGTGAAGGCTTCAGGAAAATATAAATTGAAATTATTAATTTTTTTAATCCTATTTCTTTTTCAGTCATTAGTATAGTATATACTAGCTACATAAATTGGATTAAGTGGTTCTTAGATTGAATTGCAAATTTTACATGTATCTACTGATACAGCACCTTGCAATTACTACGAAATAATGGATATAGTAATGATCAAATGAATACGCTTGTCAACTATTTACTTTCTTAATTCCTTATTTGTATCATGAAACAGTAATAAATAGAAAATTGTGATGAATTTAATTAAAATCTATAGCCTGCAATTTTCTAATGACTTTTGTGTATTATAAATGCATTTTCTGCAATATATTTGCATTTTAGGAGATGCTGGCTGATGTATCTTTCGGGTATTTTTGTGTGCCTCAGAGAAAATGTTTAATGATTATAAATAACAATTATTAATTATTTTCTTTGAGGCATTCGAAAGATACATAAGTCAACATCGTTTCATTGCAGAGAATGCATTTATAATACACAAAAGTCATTAGACATTTGCAAACTATAGACCTTAATGAAGTTACATCAAAGTAATTTTTTATTTACTTCGTTTCTTTAACAAGATAGAATTTCCTCTAATTCCAGTTCCTTTAAATCTGCTTAGTAAGATATAAATTTGCCGAAACGTTCACAGTAAAGATGCAAAACCCCTTACAATTACTATAACAAATATTATTCTCACTTTTGCCCCAACATTCCGCCATGGCTTCTTATGGTGTAAACTCATCGTTTCATCTGGAAAAACGCGAACACCACCGACTCCGAGGCCGATAGAAATATAAAACTGTCAACAAATAAATCAAAATAAATATCATGCAATATAATCATGATAACTCGGATACTGTAATAATTACTTGTTGATCGAATGGTGCTATTTTATGGTAATTCTTATTACGCAGCAATCCGTCTGGCCCAGGACCCATTCTTCCAATTTCTTCACCATCGACAGAGAACGAAAATCCATTTTCGTCCCATATCGTTGTATAGTTATGGAAATCTTGGGTCCACCTGGGACCTAATTCTTTCACTCTGGAAACCTTGTAATCATCGACGTGCCCGCCTGTGCTTATCCTGAATCCGAAATCCACTTTTCTTGAGTCAAAAATCTGACTATTATTGCGGTCGATTAAATTATCGTTTCCTCTGGCAAGGCCAAGAATGATGCGACCATTGTGGCTATAGCCATAAGCAATGTTCACTGGTTCCAGGTACATTTCTGTTGCAATGAAGATCATATTAATCTTCTCCCAATTCCATTTAAGTTATTATCATGTTCCCATTATCAATGATTTTGTATATTTCAAGTAAAGAAAATCAAATTAATATTCGGGATTATTTCAAATTGTAATACCAAGTATAATAATTACAATAATTTACAGACTGATAATTGGGCCATTTTTGACCCAGAGTATTTAAATCATCACCAAATTGCTCAATCTTTGATAATTAAATTAAATTGCTATTATATTAGGAGCAACAATAAAGCTAATAAATCTATAAAAAGTATCTTCAAAAATATGTTTTAAAAATTGGGTGAACAGAGCTGAGTCATGTGCATTACCATTTGCATCGTTGTGAAAATGGTCCGTCGTGCGAGGATTGATATCAAATCTTTAAATACCTGGATATAGCCAGTCGCCATAAGGAAACTTGGCTCTGATTTCGATTTTGCCATATCGGAAGTTGAATCTTTTCTTTGTGGTCAATCTACTTGATATAATAGGTGGTAAAATACTGAAGGACGTCGCGTTTCGCGAACATTCATCTTCATAGTTGCTCGTACACCTGTTATAAACAAAAAAAAATAGATTTTATGAATTTTCAAAATATTGTTAATCTTAGCGAAGTACAATGTCGTTCAATTGTTTACTATATTATAGTGCGCTCACTTGCTAAGCATCATTCTTCCATACGCGGTGGCATGATCGCCGTAAACATCCTCCAAAATGAGCGGCTTGAATACAACCTTGCCACTGACAATTTGTAACAAAGTATCATGGTGTTCATTATGGTACACACAGAATTCGTAATCCTGAAACAGAAAATTACATGATTGTAGTAGAATTCGTTTCAAATTCTAAGTGTAGTTTTTTATTAGTACAAAGCAATTCGATTGTATGAAAGCTGAACACAACATTCAATTGTTACAAATAGACTGCAGATTTTTACGCAAAACAAAAGTTGCCTACACTTGTCGCATGTAATTTGAAATTTCTTACGTTTCGATTTATCTGGTTTCTTCAATTATAGCTGATTTATTTGTATCATAAAATCCGAAAGTTATGAAGCACAGTTGATCGTAGATAGGATTCACTGATTACAAACGTTAATCGTTCGTCATTAACTGTTTGCTTTTCGTTTAAACATATTTAAATGTTCATTATGTTATAAACAACTATACCGTTCTATTTAAGAGAGTCAACAGAATCATTCTACGTGAAATTGACTCATATATCTTTTACAATTAGAGCACGAAACATTTTTGAAGTTATTTTTCGCTTACTTCTCAGTGCAATCTATAAAATTAACAATTTAAAATTTGTTGCACAGTGCAATGAGATGATTACTTTACTCGATGTAGATTACACACAAAATGTAACCGTTAATTACAATTTGTACTCAAATATCTCAATTGCTATTGTCAACCATTGGAAGCTGCGATATGAATCACAATCTCATTTCTAATAACTTACTGGGCCTAACGGTATCCTGAAATCACGTTCCCAAATTGTTGAATCCAAGGTATCAAAATTTTCTTCGAACAATATTGTCTTTGGTGGTCCTCCATTACTTTCCACTTCGTCTATAATGATATTTCCTTAATTATTTTAGAATCTTGATCTTTGCGTAAAAATCTCAAGCTTTCAGATGTTTATTAAGACAATAATTAACACGAGATTTGTATAATTTTTAATTATTTTAGGATTTTAGTTTTAGGGATTTTAGATATTTATTGCATATTAGTTATTTTAGAATCTCTCTCTCTTAGTTTTGGGTTTCAGATATTTATTGTATAGTTAATATTTTTAATCATCTAAGAATCTTGGCTTTTAGGTTTTCAGATATATATTGAGATATCGAATTATGAAATTCGTAATAATTAGAAACCACGTACTTGTAATTGTCCATTGATCGAGTAGGGTATATACGTTTTCATTAATTTGGCCCTGGATCCAATAATATATAATATTTCCATTTTGCAAGTTATGATGATTCATTTCAATTGTCCATTTTCCATCCGTCGGCCTAAAAGCTTCGCCTGATATGTCTCCTACTCCATTTATCGTGATCCTTCTATTTATGTTACCATTGAAAGCGAAAAAACGCAATCCACCTCTATCTAAAAATATAACCAAGAAAGTATGTTTTATACATTTTTGCTAAATATTTTGAGAATACTTCTAGATCGCGCAAACGCTGTCACATATTTTAAAAGTATGTGGACAGTTGAGATCGAGAATTCTTGAAGGAATATGTAAACGCAAGTGCCACATCATTTCCAATTAATACTCTACGTGGTAATTCTGAATAATCTTTGTTATTAAGTTTCGAACGCATGTAACCGATAACGATTATCTGAATAACACGAACACATGCAACAGAATACTGTTGTAAATAAACTGCGGATCGTTATTTATTTATAACGGTCAGAAGTATGAATTAAATTTTTAATTGACTTCTACTATACTTTTAATTGACGAAATAAAATTAAAATCTTTCATTCTGGGTTTTATACATATAATAATAATAAGAAAATTATATATTGCAGTTTCAATTGTTCAAACTGTTATTTAACGTTTCACACAAGAACAGTGGAAAGATCACAAAACTGCAAAGATTTATTTTATTTGAATTAAATGCAGTTGAGATTTTGGCAATTTTTTTGCATAAAGATACGGGGTTTTAGTTATGAATCACATACCGTTACACACACACACGCGCGCGTTGGGAAACCCCACTAAACGGTGCGCTTAATATATCCGTTAAATCACTGAGGCAACATAAGAATTTACGCGTAAACACATCTATGAAAATTATTCTTCGCACACTCAATTACTTGCTATCTTGTTAATCAAAAGAATACAACAATACAAATTCACAGATTCTTTTACATTCGTCGAACGATTGCTATTATTCATTTACCTGGGATTGTAACTCGAATCTGATTCGGTGGCAAAATCGTAAATGATGGTCTCGTTAGAACGTTCGAATTTTCTTGAGCAACAAATTGTTCGAACTTCAAGAAAATAACTAAAAACATTACTATAAAGCTGCCACGACTCAACATTTTGCTTTGACAAATTCAAGCAGCAAAACATTAACACAACTCGCTCAGCAAAGTGAAAGAACTCTATACAACTTGTAAATGCTGTGGTCTGGTACAGTACTGGCTTCAGCATGCGGTTCTGATAACTTTTATTCATCATCGAACCAGTCTTCTTCACGGCTGTCTCGCTATCGCTTCTTGCGGGGCATCCCGAATCGCGAAATAAAAAAACTTTGAATGGAAAATTGTGTTTTGTTTAGCGAGACGTAAGCAAAATGAAATCAGCAAGGGGAACCAGATTTTTTATTGTTAGAGTATGGATTTTCCTGAATTTATATACACTAAACAGCAAATTCTGTCCACTTACATTGTATAATATTAGTTAAAAATGCTATTTTATTATTTTCAGTTTAGCAAAAATTATATAGAGAATTAACAAACACTATCCTATTATTTTCACCTTATTGAAATTATTTAAAGAATTTAAAACTACTATTATTTTCAACTAATTAACATTATTAAGGAATCAAATAAATGTTTATGTATGCGTTGTGTCTTACAATTAATGTAGACAATTTTTATATAGCATAAAAATGCGCTGTGTACTTATGATTATAATTTCGAAATAGAAAATTAAAATGTTTGCTCGAAATACACTAAAAATTTTTTGCAATTTACTAATATATATTTGTTCAAGTTTCGTTGTAGAATCCAATAAAATAGTTGACATTTTCGAAAAAATAAAAACTGCATGTCATAAACTAAAAATATTGATCACTTAATAGATATTGTTTCTAAGATTTTAATAATTATATAAGGCATTATTGAGTGTATAACGTATTCTAAAAAATATTATGTTTGAATAAAAATGTTAATAATTATACATATATTACATGTTTAGATTACTATTTATATTAAATTTCTAGCTTTAGATGCTTCGTTCGATTACGCAGCTTTTATGTGAATAGTTGGGATGACACTCGAATGTTTAAATTTGAATTAGGAATGCCGATTGAGCTTATTTTTCAAAATTTATTTGATTTGTCGCGTTACTGTGACGTCAAATTTAAATGAACGCAATGAAACATGTCGGAAGGCACGGTTGAAGGCGATTTTTAAAAAGTCTGTTTGATCAATAAGGAAAATATAGAAAATTTACAATGTTGCTGACAAGGAACGTAACCAAGTATGGTTGCTGCAGAATTACTTCCTGTGACACTGTAACAAATATTATTAACAAGTCTTTAACTAAAGGAATAAGGGTGCAACATAAACGAAACATTGTAGGTTATCCTGTGTTACAACCTGAAGAATATTGGGGTAATAAAAGTGGTTTGAAAGCAACAAATCATAAATTAATTGCACATTTTTCATCTACTGCACATAGTGGCCAGGGATATTCAACTGACACGTGAGTTTGTTCTAAAATTATTTCAAATTCATAAATAAGTCATAAGTCAAACTTATATAAAATTCAAGCAACTTTTATATCTGTGGATGTTTTATATCCTAATAAAGATAAGATAGCCAAAAATATTGAGAAATAATAATCAACAGAAAGGAACGTTTCATTTATTCATGATTATAACAATACTTTCTGTTATATTATCTAATTAATTTCATATACTAGACAGTCATCTAAGAGATTTAATATTTTGGAACGTACTTTATTTCTACTTAAAATATTACTAATTAATTGAACTGTCTAAGATGTTAACAAATGTCTTTTTTTGTCACAGAGAACTCACACCTGTACTATTTGAAAAAGTGACAAATGAAACTCTGGACTCATTAACAGAATACTTCGATGAATTAATTGAAAATTCAGCACATTTAACAGAAGCAGATGTATCGTACGGGGTATGTATTTTAATATTTCCTTTGATTATATCTTTTATTAAGATATACATTAATTTAATATACATTGATATTGCAGGATGGTGTATTGACTGTTAAATTTGGTAAAACCTATGGTACCTATGTAATAAATCGACAAACCCCAAATAAACAAATTTGGCTCTCATCTCCAAAGTCTGGTCCAAAGAGATATGATTTTGTGAATGGGAAATGGATCTACAAACATGATGGAATGACCTTACATGACTTACTTAATGATGAAATTCCAGCAATCGTAATGAATCCAACATGTTTCGAAAAATGTTCCTTTAGTGGTAGAGAAAAAGACGCTGTAATGGCCGATTTACCTGAAAACCACTGAGTCTTGCGTATACATCTGTCCCACGTTGATCATTAAAATTTCAATTATTGTATATAAATTATAATATAGTATTTTGTGAAAGAAACATGTGAGTATTTATATTTTTGCAATAAGTTCACATTTTTTTGTTACACAATCATTAAAGAACTTCTCATGGACAGAACTGAACTTTTCAATAATAAATTTCTTTCTAAAACTTACTTTGTACATTGTTGTACATAATATGATCATACTTATTCATTGTTTATAGAATTTTTATACAAATAAATAAAGAAATATTAAAGTAGTTAATCATTGTTACTAAATGTTATTTAATTAGGAAATTAAGTAATTTCTAATATCAATTTTTAAGAAACGAACAACAATCATGGAGATTATGGAAGATGGCAACTTAGTAGATCGCGTTAGAATTTTGTTGCAACGCGACATGCAATATTATCAGGTAATTACACCCTCTAATCTAACAATGCTATTATTTCAAAATGGTCATATTTGGGAGGGGGGGGGGGGGCTTTATAGTCTATGTAAGTTTTATAAAAATCATAGGGGAGAATTTCGATACTATTCGTTCTTAGAAAATTAATGAAAAAGATTATAAACTAGCGCGATATGCTGTAATGATGCAGGAGATGCAGACGGTGTTAAAAGAGCCACTGTGCACGCGAATATGCGGTGGAAAACTTGACTTTCCAAGGCACGCTTCTTTCGCTGCCATTAAAATTGTCACATGGTGGGAATTAGACTTCCAAGCAACTTTCAAACGCCATTCTGGGTTAACAAGTTTTGAAGCTGCTGATAGTGCAGGAACCGAAGACAAGGTCATTAAACAAATTCTGCCATCCGAATTTGTATTAACAGTAGTTGATACTGCTGATCAATTATTAGGTATTGCCTTCATGAATATCCCAAACATATCTCGGAAAGAATGTTTAATCAATACTCATAATTCTTTTAACGATCGTATTTACGATTTTATTAGAAAATATTTTTATCTAATACTACTTGCTAGAAATAGTACATTAGATTATCAGTACGACAGCATAAACAGCTAATATACAAATTTCAGAACACTTGCATTTGCTCATTCAAGAGTCATTGGATCATGCAGACTTAACAGTATTAACAGCCACATTGGGTGCAGCAGCATTGGTCAGAAATTGTTTATGGTGTTATAGTCAACAGTCTAAAAGCACAGTTTCTGCACAGACAGGGTACATTTATTTATTGTTATACAATAACAAAAATTTATGAAATGTCTTTAACCCTTAATTGGTATACTGATGAAGTTATGAGTGACCCCAACATTGTATTGCTATTTAATTTTGCAACAGAAGTGTAATTTTCCATGTTTGTATTATTTTATATATTGGTTAAGAATAAATTACCAATGGTGTATTTATCTAGAATTAGATTAACACATGTTAATGTATAACAGTCATTTTTATGCAAATCATTATACCATTTATGGGTTGATCTATATCTGAAAGAAATGAATGTATCTTCCAATTATTAACAGCGAAAAGATAAACAAGTCGTATAAATCGTATCATGAGATGGCTGAAGCTGTAGCAGAAAGATTACTCGACTTACATTGCCGCTTAATTTCATTGTACATCCTCAATGAGGCAGACTCTCTTAATTGGCACGACACAAAATCGTTTTTCGAACGCGAACGCTGCTCCTTTGTGATACAAATGTGGTGGCTGTATATGCAAGGTAGCATAATTCATGATCCTTTTTGAAGTATAATTATAGGATAGTCTTCAATATAATAAATCATTCCTAATTGTTAGGAACAAAAACTGACTTGTGGGACACTGTTTCGCCCAAAATGGCGCAGCGTATTTTCACCGGGATGCTGAACGAATCGTTGTCCATTATTGTGACACGATTCATTTATGTAAGTCATATTATGAACCTCTAGACAACACTTAAAATTTTAATTGCAAAACAATTGCTGATTATATTTCTTCATAAAAAAAAGAAATAACTTTTTATGTATATCTGTAATGATGAACTCAATTCAGTGACAATTGATCTTCCTTTTGAGCATATTAGCAAGTAGTAAAAGGTACAATATTTTTTATTGCATTAGGCTCGACCAAGTTTAGCACGAGCCGAACAATTTTGGACGGATGCCTTTAATGTACTTTGTTGCACCGGATATCTTGCTTTGAACGCCTGCCTCAGCGTCAGCGAAATGATTGGAATGAAATTAAATAAATTACCCGTCGCCATTAGAGATATTCATGCTAAATGTAACGAATTGTTTATTTGCTTATTACTGAGGGGCACGCCACTTCAAGAATTGTATCAGGTACAATTGGAATTGTAAATAAACTGTATATCTTTATGTGTTTATGGTAAATACAACTTCGTGCAGTACAAGAGAAGTTCTACATTTTTTGTTTGTTTTGTATGGTGATTTTATTTTTCAGGCTTTCCGTGGAGGCTTCGACAATTTAAAAATTTCACAACCGCGTCTCGGACCTGCACCCTGGCTGCTAATATGCGCGCCCAATTTATCAGGATCAATCGATTCTAACGTCTACATCACAAGTCTGCCTGAAGACAGAGCAGTAATTCTAGAATTGAATATACTTAGACACCAACCACAACCAAATTGGCCTCAAATAATAAAGGTGAAGAACTGGATTGCAGATCTTATTTGTCTTCTTAATAATTTTAACAAATTAATAGTATGATCATACTCTTAAATCCTTCCCATGTTTCTACTGTTTACTGTTTCATCTACTCATTTACGCCATAAATGCACAAAATCGGTGGTTCAATATTAATCAGTTAACATACTAATATTTTTACAATATTCAAGGATTGGTACCGTGTTGAAAAATCAAATCAGTAATTACAATTTCCATAGGTAATTTCTATGGACGACTACGCCGTATCCAAGATCTTATTGGACATTTTAATTCACGATTGCGGTGATTACACGTCCGAGGACAATTACTACGCTTCGAAGACTTTCGAAAAAGATGTGAAAAACTGTGGAGGTTTCCTTTGTAACACTGCATTGTGCAATCATTTTATAAAATCAACGTCACCCTTAAACCTGTATAGTCTAATGCATGTTTTGAGTTACATAGTGCAGGAACCTGACCGTGTTATCGTGCCATGCTTGAAACAGAATCATAACTGGTCCAATTACCTCAATCGGCAACAGGTATTAAATCAATCAGATATTAAATTAAAAAAAAATGTAACTTTGTAACTTATTACAGTTAATCCAGACAATTTTTGTTTCGCATAAAAATCCACACAGTTTATTAAATATATTAAAAATGCAATTTGTTTTACACTTGCCTAGGTATGGAATCAATGCAGGCCCCCTTGGTTGAATGCAATTTTAAAACCGTTGAAGAACATGATGCCACCGATCATTGAATTGTTACTTGAAGCAGCAAAAGTGAGTCGTTAGTTGTATTAATAACAATTAAACGGTTACTAAATTCCAGGCGAAAACTGCGATTTTGAGAAGAAGAAATAAAAAAATATTTGTGAATTTCTTTAGCTTCATTTTTTTTGTTTTGCTTCAGTTTAGTTCAGTTGAAACAATCTTCTTCCGCAATTCCAACTATATTGGATTCGACGATTGAAGTCTGCCCTTTACATCGAGTCCTTAAAATTTGATGTACGATTTATTGTTGTCGTTTTATTGAATTTTTAATGAGAAGTGACCAATTTCATCGGGCCGTAGTACGTTGGCCATTCTACATGTTGGCGCGCTTGGCATTAAAAATGCAATAAAACGTCAATAAAATATCGTACACCGAGCTTTATCCGATGACCATAAAGGGGATACTTCAATCTTCAAATCCGATGTGATTCGAGTTGCAAAAAGAGATACTGAACAATTGCAGACAGGGGCCAGCATGTATCAGGCGATGTCGCTAGTAATCGGCTGCTTCGCCGAATTATATATAACATTACCAACCACCATTTTGAAGATCGCTCTCGCGTTAAATGACAATGTCCCGGCTCATTGCCACCCGATCGGCGGGAACGTTCTTTTCCATATTTTGTGCACGTCCCTTTATTCCGCTCTCTTCGAGTTCTCGGGAAGCTGCAAGCTAGAAACGGACGTCGACTCACCACCCAAAGGAACGATCCACGAATTGAGCTTGTTCGAATCCAACGATGATTCGACGATAGCCACTATCTTGGCTGAAGCAATCTGTAGCATCGACGAGGACAATAAACACACGTCTCAGATCGATGACTTCTACCAGCTAGTGAATCAGAAGTAAGATATTTTAAAGCCTCTTTTTAATTTCGTTTCTATGAGATCTAATTTCACATGTATTTGGAGTTAGTTCAGAGGAATTTGCTTCGAGTTCTGAATGATGATTTTTTTATTAGTTTCCATGACCCTATTTTATAGCAACATCTGTACTGGTTTTTTGGACATCCTGAAGTTCATATTTTAATTTCTTAGTACAATCACACTTTTCGAGATGAAGTTAAATAATTCTCTTAGGCATTGAAATTTTAGAACATCATGTAGTAAGAAGATGTAGAAAATGTAGAAAAATGTACACTCTTAGACGAAGTCTTAGATAATTACACCGATGGAAACATTTTACACCTTGAAATAGTGTTAAAACCAGGTAAAATTGCATAAATTATGATTTTTTCAAATTTGTTTGAGAAATTCCAAATTCGATACGATTTTTTCAAATTTCTTAATTAAATTTCCGTTGTTAAACAATTTCTATACCTCTATAATCTTTTTATAGAAACAGCAGATGCATGTTCTATTAAATTTATTTCTGAGACAAAACGATCGAAGTTATTTGCTACAAATGTGGTCACACATAATTCCATTAAATACATTTACACAAAACATACGGTTTTTAGTATTCAAAGAATGAACGCGCATCCTCGCGATAAGGAGGTAGCTGGCATGGCTTCCATCATAGAAACATGCACTGACGAACTATTGTTTACCGAATCTGGGCGGCAAGCATTAAAAGTAAGTACAAGAAGATCCCTTCTGTAATCAGCAAATAAAAAAACTAAATACAACAATCTCAACGAAAGCACAAATATGATTTCGCAAAGTATGAATATAATTTTGTGAAGCGCAAATATAATTTTGCAAAGTGAAATTTTAATTTTTCGATGATTCAGGTAGTACACAAATGTTTAGTCTGCGCGGCAGAAATATTATTAAACAATCTGCGACAGAATGACATTCAAAATAATTGTACGACTATACCGGAGGTTGATCCGCTTATCAAACCGTTGACTTATATAATGTTTCATATCGAAGATACCACGTTTGACCAGGTCAGCATCTGGAGTTGTCTAAACACGTTGATTGCCATCACGAATTATTATGCAATTATTTGAATTGCAAAATTTTTTGTTTTAAAATGAACTCCCTGCACTTTGATAAAGTTATCAGTGGACAGACATTATGCATTTATGGCAAGTATGAGTAAATCAAATGCAAAATCCCAGAAATATTTAAACGATTTGAAAATATTATTGTATTACTGTCAACTCATTAAAGTGAGTAAAAAAAGGGGAATAAATTTGTATAATTCTTGCATTTTGCACTTCATGGTGACAATTTTTATTCTGTATAAAAATCCGCAGTCTAATTGACATGTAGGAATTAATATTGGTTTGGCAGATCTGCGAAATGCAAGTAAATTGAAAGAATAATTAATATCACAAAATATTATCTCCTTAAACTGTGGTTAATCGAATAAAATGTTTTGATTTTATTTAATTTTTGTGGCTTGTGAGACGATGATCAACGTGTTAGTGGCACAGTAACTAGTACAGTACTCGATCATAATAACTATTAAGATGTACATTCTTATATGATTATGTTTCTTACAGTTTCTCATCGAGTATGAAAAGACTAATTGGAGGAAAGCTTTAACTATGCCTCTTTCTATAACAGTGAAACGCGTGCGAAATCAAATCTTAATGCGTCCGGAATTCAAAAATGCAAGTGAATTATCATATGAAGATCGAGAGGCTATGCATTCAATTAAAAAGCTGTGTTCTACAGTAAAAACGGCACATTTTAAGTAATAATTATTTAAGAAAATCGATAGACATGTTTGAAACAAGTATCTTATTTAAAAATAAATTATAATTTGTCTACGTAATTTATCACTTAAAAATGATATAAAAACAATTATACTGATAGCATTCAATAATTATAAATAAATGATTATGTTAAAAAAACTGGGGGTATCTTACATTTTTTATTATCTTATTGTTCTATATTTTCTATAATTCTATATATTATTAATATATAACAAGAACTGACAACTTGTTTGTCAATAAATTCTATCGAAAGTGCTAACCATAAAAAGTAGATTCAATTCTTTTTATTAACAAATTGGATAAATGATGAATTAGTTGCGTCAGTAAAATTTTTATTCCATTCTTCGTTATTATACATTCACAGTGTTCTTGTTTTTCTTCATTCTTTGCAATTAAAAGATGATGATCAGATTTCGGTTTAATTAATATATCCATTTGTTCCCCTCTATCGCTTAACCGAATGTAGAAATAGACTGATAAAAGCCACTAAAAATGGTATGCCATACGAAAATCATTGTTAGAAGCTCTATAGTTTGCTCAAGGGTGGCAGCAATAATGGAAAAGAAAGAAAACTGGCTGATTTCCATCAATCATTGAACCTCGACGATACAATATTGTTCATGGCCTTTGACAGTGCTCCAATCTGCAACACAGAGAAATCATAGAAAATTGATTTTCCTAAAATTGTCTGTGACGAAAGCTAATTTATATAAATTTATAAAATCTATTTTATATAAATATCATCTTCAGTATATTGTATAATGAATTTTATAAAAATTCGTTTAAAAAATTCAGAGCTAATAACGTGTAAGAATTACTGGTTCACTTTTAATGAACTTCAGAAAATGCAGAATTTCATTATGACCTTTTTATTGTACTTTATTCGTGCAACTTTGTTTTTTTGCATTTTATAAATTTATTATTTTATTTTTAACATTTATTTATTTGTTGGCATCGAAACTTGTAAAAACGCTTTTTAAAAGAGTTCCATGGCTCCACGTTCTAAATATAACTTTTTGAAAGCTTAAGTAACAGTTTGCAGCATTTTTAAGTTAGTTAGAAGTACATTTAGCTGTTTTTTAATCAGCTGTTCTTTGTTATGAAAGATTGTTCGCTTGATAAAGATTGAAAAAGTGACTATGGCAATGCAGGGCTTACAGGCAATCGATTTTCCGAACGTCCAAATCGTAGCCGCAAAGATGGCGATCGCTGCGACTTGCGGATCATCAAATGCTCCAAAGGAATATCACCGAGCCCAGCATCCTCGAATGCATTGCGTTGCAATACAAGCCTGTAAAGCTCGCGTATGTTTGCTGCAGGTGATTTATCCGGTATTTCATCTAATAAACCTAGAAGAAAAACATACGATTAAAAACAACACTATTTCATTCGTAACAATTAACCTTCGCCCGTTCAGATGCATTCTGACGAACCTAATCTTTCGTATTAACATCGTTTTGTCATTGAAAACTTTCCACATTTTTGTTTAAAAAACCATTTTTAAGCAACAATTTGCGACTAACGAAGAGACCATATTTAGGGGAAAAATAAATAAATGAATTTCAAGACAGCAGAAAGATTAAGATAATGCAACAATATACATTGTAATTGATATAGAAAAATTGTATTTTGCATAAAGATATTATTATTTATTATTTTATATATTATTAGAATTAATTGCAATTGATACAGAAAATTTTTATTTTGCATTAAGTATTACATTGGTATATTGCGTATATTGCATTGATTGAAATAATTTGAAAATATTAATTGTAATTGATTTATATTTTACGCAAAGAGACTAATATACTTTAACGGACACAGAACCTTTTCATTTTGCATTTAGATTAAAATACTTTAATATTGTAAATTGTAATTGACGCAGAAAATGTTTTCTCTGCCGAATGATTGTACCATTTCAGGAATATAAATCCTGATTTAAAAACGTCCACGTTTTAGTAGCGAATTTAATCGAATCACCATTAATTCGCAAAATTCTATAAAGTTACTCTCCCTCGGCAGTCGAGCGTCGACATTAATTATATGTCGCGGAAATATCATGGAAATCACTGAAACACTGTCAGTTGTAGTTATAAAACTCGAGCACATATCTATTATTCACGTGGCGAATACACAACTAGAACAGCTTATCTCTTATTAAAGTCGTATTATAGTTCGATTATATCAGTGTGTTATCGATCACCGGCTTTTCCGCTCGCTATTATCATAATTCTAAGTTGAATTTCCCGTTGAATTACCTGCGTACTCCATGTAGTTTTCCGTTGCAGAGACGAATCCCACGATAACGAGCAGCAAAAGAGATCTCGCGTATAATTGAGAGGACATCATCTTAGGCTGTTCTGTAATGAAAACAGCATCGTGCGAAATTCGCGTCAGCTACCTCGGTTTCGTGACTTTCCATGGGAGCAAATTTCGACGATCACGATAATGTAACGTTTCACGGTATCACTAGTGGGCACACGGTTACACAATTGATTCTGCCCCTTTATAAAACTCGATCATTGTTTCATTAAAACAATAAACCTTTAGTCAAAGGGTCTTGTTCGTATCACAACGCAAGTCAAGTGATACGGAATTTCACTCTCGTAAAACGCGTATTGAAACGTAAATCAGTCGCCGGAGTGGCCGAATCGAAACGGAGTGGAATAATTAAATTTCCGAAAGACAGTTTTCACCAATGAGATTTCGGCTAATGTCGCCGATAATCCTGAAGCAGACAATGCCTTCTGTACGCATAAATCTTGCTCGATTACTCGCCAGCAATCCATTGTTTTAGATTTAAGCTCAATTTATTAGCAGTATTTCAATTTAGTCGAATTGCTCTCTGCTACGATGTAGTTGCACCGAAGTTAATTAACAGAAAGATTCTCGCTCATTCTTGGTATTTGATTTAAGTCGATAAGTCATGCTTCTTCTATCATATCAGATTTTAGAGAAGCGAATGTCACAGCACAAGCAGAAAGTAATCAAACGTTTTGCGGCGTCTCAAAAGGAAATGGGCGAAGTCTTTGATTTCAAAGGAATATATATTTTCGATTCGTTTTTAAAATAAAGTATTCGCGGGAAGCAATGAACGATATTTACGGTACACTTTTCACTTTATGATGTTTACAGAAAATGTAAAATTTGTCGAATTTGTTTCGAGTATTTTCAACGAACACTTCACTGTTTTCACGGTGTAATGAACGTAATTGAAAGCAGAAATTGAAAATGATCTCGAAAAATTCAGAAAAAATATGAGAGTAACAGTTCCACGTAATCTTCAAGTCTGTCTAAAGATTTATGCAAAATCATTTTATGCTAATCGTTTTATAAAAGCAAGAAAAATATTAAATATCCCTCACTCTCGGGCGTGCAGTTAAAAGCCAGATGAGGAAAACTGATTCGTTGAAATTTTATGCAAATGAACAAATGAGCTTAATGAGCAAAGAAAATGCAGAACACATCGTGCGTATATGAAATTGGAACGGGAACAGCATTTCAAATTATTGTTATCGTAATTGCAAGCAAAGATTGATATCGAATGCAATTAAGGGAAATATGGATTAAACTCATCCATCTAAAATTTGTCGTGAAATTAGAAAGGGAAAATCTGTGAGAATTATTAATCTGATTGAAAGCAAGAATTGTTGAAATATTCAAACAGTTCCAGAAGATTTGAAGAAAGCTGGCAAATTTTTAAATTTTAGAAAATGCAAAGATCAGATTAACACCTACTAGTTGTCTTTTAAATAATAATTGCAGAAGAGGACAAATTAAATTAATCGATGTGATGTTTTGTTTCAGAATCCAAATTGTAATTGTAATTGCTGCAGGAATATAGCACTAGGATAGATCTTGCAATTAGACTGGAAATTTTTCGCACATAATTCACAACTGCACTAAGAGTGGCTATTTTATATCACTTTACAAAAATAACAAAAATTGCACTTATTGAGGGTTTTACCAATTTCAGGCTGCAAATAAAAAGAATAGTGAAGACAGGAATGCAAAGATATCGCATGAACTTAAGGGTATCGTTACGTTGTTCATGACTCATCAAAACTATTTAATGAAGAAACCGATTTTCATTTACAGTGGACTGCAAATAAAAAAGAATAAGTGAAATATAGGAAACTGTGAAAACATTAAATGAACTTAAGAGTATTATTATATTATTTCTAACTTATCGAAACTATTTAATGAAGAAATCGATTTTCATTTAGAGTTGGCTGCAGATAAAAACAAATAAGTAACTAAACTATTAAACTGTAAACTGTCAAATGAAGAAATCGATTTTACTTTATATAAAAAATGACATACAAGATTATAAAGACATTAAATCAATTTGGAGTATGTTACATTACTTATGACATATGAAAATAAGAAAAAGGAAAAATAGTTTTTCATTTAACTGCTACTATTTACAATTGACATAGAAAATCTTCATTTTACACAAAGATTCACAGTCTAATTACTATGTACTATTTAC